AACCTCGAGGAGGCGGGCAAAGTCAAGTAACCTTTGCCTTCTCAACTCTTAAGAGAATGGGCGAAACTTAGTACCACAATTCTCTTATCTATCCAGCAGAGGAGCTCTGCACAAGTTCAAAGACCCTTCGAAGATAATGGAAGACAATAGTTGTCAAATCCTCACCAACGGTGATCAGTGCTACTGAGAGTAGATTGTCCGCTTCATTTCCCAACGAAATACCAATCGAAAGCGGAAGTGATGCGAACCTACTTGGATGTGACAACTAAGTGAAATAAGAGTCAATAAGCAAATTTTATGGAGGAAGGACCCAAAACTTCATAAGTTTGCGAGATGATGCTCGTTAAAGCTCCAACAAGCATCCACCCAGTTCAAGCAGCATGAGGCATTTGAGAGACTGGCGCAGTAAGGATGGTCATTTCCTTCATCTGGGGTATCCGCAGGAATCAACAAGGATCAACACAACTCAGCCAACCCCACACTAGAGTCAGAGTCATTGGTGAGTTGAAGCAGCATGGTGGATCAAAAGGTTCGACTACTCAAAAACAACAACGGGGAGCATCTGGGAGGCAAGAGGCGCATTGTAGCTGGAGCAGAAGATTGAAGACTCAGCAAAGGCGAGGAGTTGCAGTGTCGACAAAGGCTTCAACGAGGACGTCGAAGGAATAAGTAGGGGAGAATGTCACGAACAAACTTCTAAACAAGATGTTTGATGTAATGCTTATGTATGTTCGTGTCTTTTGGCATATTCATGCCTTGTACAGCATGTAGAGGAGCGACCGAAGGCTTAATAGTCACATTTTAGTTGGGTTGGTGGCCTCTTTAGGCTTATAAATAAAGGTTGTGTCATGTGGACACGTGCGAGAGATTCTCGGTCTGTAATGGACCATTTTACCCTTTGTTGTGCAACTGTTCAGAGCTTGTAAAGTATGTTTGTAATTTGCATTGTCTATGAAGTGTTTTTCGGAGATGTTTGCTTGTGGATCCCGATTGAGGCGTTCTCTCTAACCCGTTCTCTCTTTTGTTGGTCCTAAGGGACAATGGGAGGCTTCGGGGAGGCTGACCTTTGCAGACGGACACGCAAGGGTGCCGCACGACTTAGGCAAAACCAACTAAGTCTGTGACAGTCCGGTGAACTCTCCCAAGATCGGCAAGCTTGTGGGAACAATAGTTGAGAGTTCTGCAAATATGAGAAAATCTATTGACAAATACATCAGAAGAAAAAGATTTGATGTCCGAGATAATGGCTTCAAGAGAGAAAGAGATGGGAGCTTCTCCTTTAAGCATGGTGATAAAATAGGCAGCATCTCAATTAACCCCAAGTTTTTGCCATCTACCGTTTGTAGCAGTCTTTTGAGTGCCTCTAAAAGAGCTAATCCTCCTGCTGTATAATCTTAGCTACACTCAGTTCTTTTAGCACTGTTGAAATTATATCTAATTATCGGCCTAAGTTTTTGTTTAAGATATTATATTTATCTCCAAAACTTAATTTTAGAATTAATCCCAACTTCATTAATTTGAACCATATCATCTGCAAAATTACACCTTTAGAACTCATACCATACACAATTAAAACCAAGGTCTGCCATACCGAATCATACCGCCCGGTACGGGTGGTACGTACCGGTCTGACAGGCTACCGGTACACGGACCGCCCGCTATCGGGCGGTACGTTCAAAAAAACTAAAAAAAACCCTGTATCGAACGATACGGGGTAATATCGGGCGGTAACGATCGAAATTTCGATCGTTACCGCCCAACACAACTTGGTAATGGTCGATTTCGTCCGTTACCGCCCGGTACCACTCGGTAACGGTTGAAATTGACCGTTGGAGCCCTTTCTCATTCTATTTAAGTCATTCTTCTCTCCTCTATTTAAGCCAAAGGGGAAGGCAGTAGCATCAGTTGCATCGTTGGAAAGAATCGAGTCGGGCGACGAGACACCTTCACAATCACATTCTCTTTCTCGCTCGGTCCAGAGACACGACAACAACACGAACAGCAGTGCCTCGACAGATGATGACAATGATGCCGGGCAATTGTTGGTCTCGTCTACACAACTTGAGGGTGGTGAATGGACTGCGGAGCAATATTTTACATATGCCACTCAAGATTCAGATCATGGAACTCGACAAGGTACTAGTCAAGTTTATGCGCGGAAGGGGAAGGGGAAGGCAGTGGATGAATATGAACAAATGCGACAGAGCATACATGATGTAGACACAGAAAGAGGCTCATCGTATTCACAGCCATCGTATTATGGAGAATCATACGGGCAACAACAGTATGGTGATAGTTGGTCATCCTTCTTTGAGCAACAGTATGATACAGAACAGCAGATCAATAGCGAAAGTAGAAGCTCTGACGTTTACCAATATATGCCTCAAGAGCTGCCTCGGACAAATATGATTCATGACGATCAGTCTACGATCAGCACCACATTAATGCATCAATGGCATACGATGTATCAATACACTATGTCATGGGATCAATTTCATGATTGGGTCCAACAAACGTATCATATTGATATGCAGATGTATTGAATCGAGGACCTCGATCCACCACCCGTGGAAGCCCGTCGTTCGTTTTGGTGGTAAAATCAAGTAATCAATAATCAGGTATATCTACATATGTGATTATTTAATTCATTTGAATTTTAGAGTTTATATTGTAACAAAATAGTCTAACAATTCAACTGATTTTTCTGTAGATATTTCAATCTATAACGGGCTGAAATACGAACCTCGAACAAGACTACCTCAAAGCCCGAAAAAGATATGTGATACTATTCTTACCTAATTTACATTGATTTTGCTAAACTTATACTATTACTATATTTATTTGTAACTTGAAAACCCTATCCTAACTTTTTTTTTTAATTTTCAGGTATTTTCGGAGGGTTAAATCTGTGAAATCAGGTGTACCGCTCGGTACACCTGGGTGTACCGCTCGGTACACCGTACCGTACCATACCGAGCCCAGGTCGAAACGTCGATATGGTACGGTAATGCGAACCATGATTAAAACCATTTAATATTTCAAAATTACAACCAAGATCTTCTAGAACTCATTTCTTATTCTTGTCCAGATGTCTCAGCATCAATCGAGTAGTAAAGAAACTACTACTATGAGAAAATATAGACATTAGAATATAAAAATTATGATTTTTTATGTTGATCAAAGTCATCAAACAACATGGGATAAGAACATTATGAACAAGGATTCAAAAGCTAATAAGAGCTCTTATCAAGCATGGTATTGTTTTCTTTAACAATTGACACAAAGTAATGTTCCATCAGTGAACAGCCACATAACCTTCAAATGAGAGGGACTGTTTTCCAGCACTAGCTATCCATCAACAAGAAATCTCCTGCAACTATATAGTAATTACTAAGAAAAATAAAACCTTAAAACCTTAACCTATTTCAAGAATCTCATAAAAATAACTACAGCATGATTCAAGGGTGAAATATGAGGTTATACAATACCATTTCAGAAGAATTATCACAGTATAAAATGAAATATCACTTTTTCACGGTATTAATTTATACAATTCAAGAGAACACTCTACAACTAAATCAAACTGAATCACAATTATCATGTTACCTGACAATTATGACCACTAAGTTGCACTGCCTTTCCAGAAAGAAGGTTATAGAGTAGTAACTCATTAGGAGCCTGATCAGAAGAAGAAAGGCAAAAAAAACACCCAGCTCAAATTTGGTATGTGTTTAGAAAACGACAACAAACAGTGGTGTATAGGTTGACCAGAATAAATAACTCTACATCTAAGATAAATTGTATCGAACATTAGCTAAAATTTGCAAAAAAAAACTGCTCTAAGGGCAGTCATCAGTATCAAGTTAAACACTGACCTGATTAGAACTACACACCAGTTGAGGCAGCCCTTCTGGGTGAAATCTTACATCAAGAACCTTTTGGATGCCTTGCTAAAAGCCAATATGACAGTAAAACTACAATTAGGTGCTAGGTAAATAGCTTCTTAAAAATATCATGCAGAAAAGGCCAAAAAAATTTGAAATGAAAGACAAGGTAAATAACAACTAACATACTCCAGCCAAATATTTCATTCAGCAGAAGATACTCGATACATGTTATCCTAAATGACAGGTCATAAAAATGTATAGAAGCCAAAATGTCAACAAACTGTGATTTTTGTTGAGCATCTGAAAAAGAAAATCTAGCAAATAATGTTAGATCCCGTAAACCAGAAGACCAAAGGGTTTTGCACCTCCGCAGTTATGTGCTAACATGTGAAAATGAACAAGTCAAATGCAACTGGAAAAGAAGTAAGAGGATAGACTTGTTGTTAGATGTGCAATGATGCACAATAGTTTTACTATAATGACAGTTAGTTGATCATACGCAGCAAGTTCAGCTATGAATTCTAAAAAGAAGCATGCCTTGCAATCAACAAGTGTTCTCAAGCAACGATTAAAATATCACTCGTAGCATTCCAAACCATGCATCACACACCAATCTCCTATGGACTGGTACATGAACTGTCCCTTGCCATTCTGTCACGGACTTAACTGGAATTGCTCAAGTCGAAAGGCACCCTTGCGGCAAAGTCACGGACTTAGCTGAAGTTGCCTAAGTCGTGAAGCACCCTTACGCCAATTTCTCGGACTTAGCTGGGATTGCCTAATTTATAATGCACTCTTGCAATATGCATCCACAAAGGGTCAGTCAATTTTCAACATCGCTCAGGTCCCGTAGGACCTGTAAAAAGAGCAAGCTAATTAATTCAAAAGTGAGTGGCGGACAAATCCCGACGTCTTGCGAAAAGGGAAGCTTTACAAGCAATTTAGCAAACACTTTGAGTGCAAGAGAGAAAGGAGAAAACAAAGACTTTAGAAGACAAAACGAACAATCACATGTTCACAAACGACTATTCACCGAGTGTCGGGCGCGATGGCAAGTTCCCATCAAGTTCCCTGTTGATAATAAAGAAGGATCCTTCGTACTTGCATACTAATCCCTTGTGCACTTTTTGCCTAAAGAACTTAAGTGATGATGGTTGGAGCTTCACCAACACCATGTTGCCAACCTTAAACTCCTGTGATCGCCTTCCCAAGTCTGTCCACCTTTTCATCTTTTTGACTGCTTTCTTCAAATAAGCCCACACAATATCAGCATTTCGATGTCATTCCTTTGCAAAGTGATATGCTGACGAACTACTCCCGGGATACCCGATTGCTAAGGTGTGAGGAGTCGATGGTTGCTATCCCGTAATGATCTCGAAGGGGCTCTTATTGAACGCAGAGCTCCACGGCAAGTTGTAGGAGAATTGGGCAATGTCCAATAGCTTCACCCAATCCCGTTGGTTGGCACTCACGTAGTGCCGAAAATATTGCTCAAGGAGCGAATTTATTCTTTCAGTTTGGCCATCCTCTAGGGTTGGAGACTTATGGAGAAGTATAATTTGGACCCTAGCAATTTGAATAGCTCGGTTCAGAATCGCCCCAAAAACCGAGCATCTCGATCACTGATGATATTGTGCGGGACTCCCCAACACTTTACCACATTCTTTCTCATCAACTTAGCCGTCTCCTCTACTGAACAGTGTAGGGGTGCAGCATTGAATATTGCATACTTCGAAAATCGATCGACCACCATGTGTATCGATCTGAGTCCCCCTATTGCCGACAAGCTTGATATGAAGTCCAAGGAAATGCTCTCTCACGGCCTTTCTAGTACAAGCAATGGCTCCAAAAGTCCAATCGGCTTCCGCTGCTGTACCTTATCTTGTTGGCGAGTAAGGCACACGTTCGAACATACTCCTCTATATCAGTCCCCATCTTCGGCCAATTGACACTCTCTCAAGAGTTCATACCTCAAATTGTCCACTCGAGAAACATAAACACTATTCCCTTTAGTGTAGACGAGTCTCTCCTAGACTCAAAATCGTCATGTCTTACCTTCTTTAATTAGTTGCATCAGGGTTACTGCATAGGGATCACTGTGTGGTCCATCCTTGATTCTGGAAAGGAAGTTGACTGACATGCTTGGCCTCCGCCTTCCAACTGCATAGCGTTCACCAGCTCCACTTTCCGACTCAATGCATCGACCACGACATTTGCTCTTTCAGGCTTGTACTCAATTGACATATCAAACTCAGCTAGGAGGTCCTACCATTGTGCTTGCTTTGACGAGAGTTTCTTTTGAGTTTGGAAGTAACTAGAAGTGATGTTGTCCGTCCTTCTCGTAGATAGTGGTGTTGCCAAACTCGTAGATAGTGGACCACCAATGTCATCTCCTTCTCGTGCATCGGATACCGCCATTCGGTATCATTAAGCTTGCGGCTCTCGTAGGCCATCGAGTGACCCTCCTACATAAGTACTCCTCCAATAATGAAGTACGAAGCATCTATATAGACTTCAAAGGGCTTCCCATAGTTTGGCAATTTAAGATTTAAGTACCGATTCTTCCAACACAGCAACCTTTATATCTTGGAATGTCGCTTCGCATTTGACAGACCATCGCCAAGGCTGCTCCTTCTTCAGCAACTCTATCAATGGAGCTACACGCTTCGAATACCAAACTATAAAGCACCAATAATAGTTGACGAAACCAAGGAAGGATCTCAGCTCCAGTACCTTAGGTGTTCGCTATTCCACCACAACTTGCACCTTTGATTTATCCATCTAAATGGAACCGTCACCGATTCGATACCCCAAGAACAAAATCTCTTTTTGAGCAAAGTAGCACTTCTCCTTTTTCACGAACAAAGTGTTCTCCCTGAGGACCTTGAAATTTGTTCGAAAGTGCTCGACATGCTCCTCAAGCGTTTGGCTATAAACGACGATGTCATCCAAATAGACATCCACAAACTTATCCAAATATTCCTTAAATAGTTGGTTCATGAGGGTACAGAATGTGGTTGGACCGTTGGTTAAGTCGAAAGGCATCACCAAGAACTCGAATACTCCACACCTAGTTACATAGATAATATTCACTTCAGCAATGCATACCTACCAGTACCCCAACCAAAGGTCGAGTTTTAAGAAATACTTTGCTTTGCCCAATTAGTCGAACAAACCCACGATGAGCGAGTTGGGATATTTGTTCTTCACCATCACCATATTTAGGGCCCAATAGTCGACACATAATCGAAGGCTCCCATCTTATTTCTTTTGGAAAAAAACTAGAGCTTCGAATGGTGCTTTCGAACTGCGGATGAGACCATCGCTTAGCGGTTCATCAAACTACTTCCTGAGCTCTGCCAACTCTGGAGGGGTCATGCGGTAGGATGGTCTCACTGGAGGCTTCACTCCCGGCTCCAGCTCGATACGATGATCCACCCCGCTGCGTGGTGGTAGAGTTTTTGACAACTCGGGCGGCATGACATCTGTGAACTCCTTCAAAATGTTTGCCACCATAGCAGGTTCATGAATAGCCTCATTGTCAAGTGGCTCTAGCTTTACAGTAGCCAAAAAGGTTAAATCTCCTTTTCGCACCCCCTTCTTCAATTGTAATGCTAATATTTGTTGTGGGTCCTTAATTCATCCTCAAGAAACAAGAACTACGTAGGGGTCATCGCTCCTATTAGACATAAGGAGTTTAAGAACGGTATTGGCACCAACTTTGCCGCATGCATGAACTCCATTATGAGAATCACTTGGAAGTCGTCCAATGGTGTCGTCATTATGTTTGTGCTTTCATTCCATGTCCCGATCTTGATGGGTACCACCTTTGCTAGTCCGGAGATTCACTTAGCTTCCGAGTTCACCGCCTTCATCTAACTTGGGCTCTTCTCTAAGATTAGCCCAAGTCTCCTTGCTTCTCTATCAGCAATGAAATTATGGGTGGCGCTTATGTCCACCATCGCACGGGTTATTCAACCATTGAGCTTGATTTTCACGTACATCAACTCGCTGCTCCCTGCTTTCTGTGGCTTCGTCTTCAAGTTCCCGCCACTTGACCTCGCAACGTATTCAAAAAATGTATTGCTCCCATCCGAGATCCTTACGACTCCTCATCATCACTATTGGATTCTGAACTACTCGAACTAAGGGCAACGACCTTACCCTTATCCAATTTAAGGGGGTGGATTGAAGCTGTTAAGGCATTGAGTGCTTGTTTCAATGGGCACTCCCTCACCATGTGTGGCCCTCTACACAAGAAGCATCCGCCAGGTTTTAAGGTGTTGCCTTTTGAGCTTAGCCCGTTGTAGGAACTCTTCTTCCTTTGTTTGCCCCCGGACTCCTTTCCTCGAGAATATTTTGGTGGGCGATTTCCTAAAGATTGTTTCTTTTTCCCTGAGTCCTCCGAGGAAACAAAATCAATGAGACTTTCCACGGTTGCAATTGCCTCAATCACATCGGTGACATTCCTTCGATGCAGTTCATATTGTGCCCACGTTTTCAGGCCATCAAAGAAGATGAACATCTTATCCTTTTCTAACATGTCCTATATATCCAGCATCAGTGCAGAAAATTGCTTCACGTAGTCCCGAATAAAAGTACTTTGGCGGAGTTGTCTTAGCTTCCTCCTTGCGACGAACTCTATGTTCTAAAGTAGGAACTGAGTTCTCAACTCTCGCTTCAAGTCCTCCCACATTGTCATAAACAAAACTGTAAACCGGATGTTTGATGTAATGCTCATGTATGTCTATGTCTTTCGGTTTTGTTCATGCTTTGCATAGCATGTAAATGGTTGGCAGTAGGCTTAGAAGCCCCATTTTCTTTGGTTTTGGTGGCTATCCTAAGCTTGCAAACAAAAGTTGTGTCATGTGGGCACTTGTGGGGATTTTGGTCTGTAGTGGACCATGTTGGAACCTTTGTTTGTGACCGTTCAGAGCTTGTGAAATCTGTTTGTAATTTGCATTGGCTATGAAATGTTTACTGAAGCGATTGCTTGTGGATCCTGAGTGAGACGCTTTCTCTAACCCGTTTTCTCTTTTGTAGGTCCTAAAGGGCCATAGGAG